TTAATAAAATTTTTTTTATATAATATTATAAAATAATACTTTAGAAAATATACTAAACTATTATACTAGCTATTACTTAGCCCCCTTAGGGTTATTTTTTTTATTTTTTTATATATTTTATATTATTTAATATATATTTTATATTATTTAATATATATTTTATATTATTTAATATATATTTTATATTATTTAATATAAATTTATATAATATTAAATTATTTAATTCTATTTAAATAATTATAGCTTTTTAAATTATACTTTAGATATTTATATTTATATTTATATTCTATTTTATTTTATTATATATTTAAATTATAATTTTCTATTTACATCTGCCCCTACCCAAGCAATTTTACTGCATTCTCTACTCTCTTGCCATTTTCTTATACGATCTTTATTCCATCCTGCTCTATTACTAATCCCTGCACTCCTGTCTTTTAATTCATTTTCCACTTTTCTTTCTTGTCCATATTGTATTGATCCCAGAAGGGTACATTTTTTATCATCTGCCCCTGCCCACTTCCACTGGAAACAATTATCGTCGACATCACACGCTTGGCTGCATTGTTCAGAAGAATCGGCAATTGCACCAGGTGGATCATATGCATTGAAACGACCACCATCCCAGGCCTCACGCACCGGGGTTATGCCTGGTTTATGAAATTGCCATATATCAGAATATAACAATGGTCGCTATACGCCTATTAGTTCCACAACAACATGTATTTCTTCGTGTGCGCCAGGTATGAAGAACCAAAGAATATGACTTACATCGGATTTCCGTTGGTTAAACTCCCAGCTGAACAAATCAACCATGTCCTTCGGAGATGTCTTATGTAGCGTTATCAGTGGCTGGCACCAATGCTGATCATTAAAAGGAATCTCATGAAGGGCATAAGGACTGAACATCGGGAAGTGACCATGCATAGGAATGCCCTGCTCCCACATTACCCATCCCAGGACGCTGTCACCACAGCACTCATCATCATGATTTAGATAACTGAATTTCGTCGAGAGCGGCTCGTCTGTATACTCTCCAAATAGACCAGTCGTGCGCTGTAATAGTGTTTTCATAGCGCCCCGACTAATTATGTATCCAGGACCTCCGTTGGCAAATAAAGTCCCCTGGTCTCTTCGTTTCGGATCGCGGCGACCGGGAGATGGTGAGCCAATGTATACATTTGCATCTGGATTATACATTTGAAGGAAACGGAATAGGTTATCCCAAAAAATATAGCTTGGATGTATATTAATACCGTGACGGGTAAAATCTAAAGAGCACACTTACGTATCTGTTTCGTAAAAGACATAGAAGTCTCTATTAGGCTTCATAGCCCAAGCTCTTTCCATCATCGGTAAGAATTTGAACTTGTCGAGTGCCCATCCATTTATATGCTCCGTTTGTGCCTCTGTGTCTAAAGTACCATTTCTTTGCATTTCTTTCTGGGACAAGTACTCCCCCCACATCTTGAAGGTGGTAGCATTATAATGAGAGCTTGGTAGGTCGGCAAGAATATCAATAGCACGATGATTTCGAATATCCTCGTCGAGGTCTGAGAAGATGATCAGCTCATCTGGCGTAAAGCAGGCACTAGTGCTATCCATCTGCGCGTCCAATCTCTCTTTGTTATCTCCATGGCCGGTTTTGAGAACTGGTTGTATTCGTGACAAAACATGTTTCGGAAAGGAACTGCAAATGTCTTCTGTTGAGTTGATACCCTTGGATATAGACCTGGGGAAAAAATCGGTCACCGTATTATGGGTGAAGTCGTCAGTCTGCGGGTAGGTTTGATATGGTAAGAATTCAGCAGGCGCAGGCTGCTTATGACGGTATATAAAAAATAATAATAATATCAGGCAAGAAGCAATTATAATGACATTTTGTAGTTGTCGGCTATGCAACACATGAGGTGTAAAGAGTGGCCGCGCAGGAGTTCTAAAAAGGGGCATTATAGGCCTGCTTAAATCGGGGGAGAAGAAATTAAGGTTATAGAAGTAGCCTAAGAGAAAGGTTACAAAAATAAATATAGTGTAATAGTAATTAGTATACTTCTAAATAACAGTTATAATATATGTATAAATTTATATTTCTTTTAAATATATATATACATGTATTATTTATACTATTATTTAAAATTTTAATACTCAAAGCTATATAAAGCATAATTTGTCTTGTTTCCTAGTATATAAACTACCTGTGCATGATATTAATAGTTCTAGTATAGAGTACCGGAGTGTATGTTTTTGGTTTTTGTGTTTTCAGGAGAGGCCACAAAATCCACTATTCTCAACATGGCTAGGTTTTCATACTGTAAGCAGAGATACACTGACTGCACCCTGCCACAGCTACAAGTAGCTTACGTGATTACTAACTAGCCTTCCCTGGTAGTATCTTGAACCTATATCAAAAGCCCATCAGGCCTCCAGCAACCCGCCCAAGCCAACCTTCACAACATCCACCCGCAACTTGCGGATAGCCCACGATGGACTTCGATATGTTGCAGGCTCGCTTAGGCGAGATTGCTCGCGCAACATCTTCGAACTTTCAAAAGCTTCCCGGGTCGGCTATGATCGTACGATATATCCAATCCAGCTACCAAAATGATCCCGTTCGATCCGCTATTGAACTGGTCCTTGTCCTGTTCTTTATTCGCTATCTTATGTCGCCTTCATACTCGACTCACAAGCAAAATTTTGTCAAGCTGCAAGAAGGCGTACGCTCATCCACATTCCACCGACGATGCCTTCTCGCTGACTGCCCGTGGCTTTAGGAGATTGAAGAGTTAATTGATGAATGGACCCCGGAGCCAATTGTGGCTGATCGGACGGCTGTAGAGGAGATTGAGAATGAGAGACTTCCGGTTATCGTCGGGTGCGTCATGCCTTGCTGTACGCTGTACCACAGTTGACTGACATACGAGTTCGTACCTTAGACCGACTGGCCCGAAAGTTAAACTATCCAACGGACGGACGGCCTTCAACTTGGCTTCGTATAACTTCTATAACTTCAATTCCAACGAACAGATCAAGGAGAAAGCAATTCAAACTTTGCGCACATATGGCGTTGGCCCTTGTGGCCCTCCTCAGTTCTACGGCACGCAGGATGTTCATGAAAAGGCAGAGTCGGATATTGCGTCGTACCTTGGCACAGAAGGCTGCATTCTCTACGCACAAACATTCTCGACTGCCACCAGTGTCATTCCCACCTTTTGCAAACGTCGCGACGTCATCATTGCCGATGCTGCTGTCAATTACTCCATTCGTAAAGGCCTAGAGATTTCAAGAAGCAACGTCAGATGGTTTAAACATGGCGACTTCAACGACCTCGAGAGGGTGCTCAAAGCCGTTGCAAATGAACAGGCGAAATCTGGAAAATTAACTCGTCGATTTGTCGTCACAGAGGGCTTTTTCGAGATAACCGGTGATGTCACCGATCTACCTCGATTGGTTGAGCTGAAGGAAAAGTATAAGATCCGAATCATTCTTGACGAAACATGGTCTTTTGGTGTATTGGGACGAACCGGACGTGGCCTTACTGAGGCACAAAATGTAGATCCACAACAGGTGGACATGATCATTGGGTCACTCGCAGGTCCCTTGTGTGCCGGAGGTGGATTTTGCGCAGGATCTAAAGATGTGATTGAGCATCAACGAATCACCTCTTCCGCTTATACCTTCTCTGCAGCCCTGCCAGCCATGTTGGCTATGACTACAAGCGAATCACTGAAGCTGCTACAGTCGAATCCTGACATTCTTGTTCAGTGCAGAGAGAGCATTCGGGCCTTGAGAGCGCAACTTGATCCACGTAGCGATTGGGTTGTTTGCACCAGTTCAGTGGACAATCCTATTTTACTTCTAGTAATTAAGCCCGAAGTTGTCAATGCAAGGAGGTTGACTGCAGATGACCAAGAAAAAATCTTGATGGAGTGCGTCGAAGAGGTATATCGTCCCTTACTCTTAAGAACATTAGAACAACAACAGCTAACAATCATTAGTCGCTTGCAAATGGTGTCATGATCACACGACTGAAGACACGGCCATATGCGAATGCCATAGCAGCAAACGACTGGACACTCCAGCCAGCCCTTAAAATTTGCGTTACCTCTGCGCTTTCTAAGAAGGACATCGAAAAAGCAGGTATTACAATCCGACACGCCATTACGAAGATAATGACAAAAAGATCAAATAAGGCTATTTAATATATGATCTCCAGGCCCCCTTTACATACACCTACATGTTTTCAATTCTAGAATATGACAAGACTTAGAAATTTGTGTTTATTTTTATGGTAATGCTAATACTTTTCAATAACTCTCTATTAATATAGTTAATATATGAACATCTTGCTTTGCGTGTATATATGTGAGAGAGAGAATAAGTGTATGGGTACAGATTATTTGTACCGTATTTTACCAAGATTGATAGATTCCCTTTTTGGTGGTTACCTTATATAATCAGCCTGACAGCCGGCCCACCTAAGGTATGTCTCCAGCGTATTCTCGCAGGTAGAGACTTAGACCTAAATTCGAGCTATCCATCGCATATGAAATCAGCTTCCGCAGGAATTTACCTCTTGTTGTCGCCCATCCAATTTGGATTGAGCCGCTATTGGTATATTTTTGCCCCCTTTCATGATTAACAGCTGACATGCCGCGACTGCTTTGTATGTTATCCTAACTCTGCGGCCTAACTGATGCGCTGACTTTCATGCTGCTTGAAGCCACAGCGCTGTCATTGCGTCGCGACCCTCGGCTGCTAAGAATTCCTCCATACGTATCTGCTTTTTGTATTGCCATTGGCGTTGTTTGGCTCCTTCTTCTACCTCTGGACGACTATTCGAGGCGAACCTACGTATCAGAGAATGCTCTCTTGCCTGGACAAGTGCATACCTATTTTGGTGGTAGCGAGCAACATATATTCAGGGCCTTTAGGCACGAGGTCGATTTGCTTGCCGACAAGAACAATTATGAGTTTGTTGCCGAGCGCCATCCCCTGAAGATTTGGCGATATACACCTGGCTAACACGGTCATCAGAGTCAACGATAAACTAGAATCGATCCTGACAGGCTTTGGCGTCAAGGTTGGCCGACAGAACTACACCTATCACTCGGCCGGACAGATATATACTGGGGAGAATGTGTATGGTATTCTGCAAGCCCCTCGTGGGGACGCGACAGAGGCTATTGTGTTGGTGGCTGCATGGAAGAGCATAGATGAGCAGCTTAACCGGAATGGTATCGCGCTTGTGCTCACGTTAGCTCGCTATTTTAAACGTCAGTCGCTGCCAGAACCCGAGCTTGATGGGGTTGGACTTTAGAGGAAGCTGACAGACGACAGGTTGGTCATTATGGTCGAAGGATATTATCCTTCTTTTACCTCCAGATAGCACAACAGGAACACAGGCCTGGGTTGACGCTTATCATGACGCTCATGATTTTAAACATATTGCACCGTTGCCACTCAAATCCGGTGCACTACAGGGAGCTATTGCGATCGATTACCCCCATGAGCAGCGATATCACGAGCTTCACATTATTTACGATGGCACGAACGGACAGCTGCCTAATCTCGATCTCATCAATTCGATTGTCAACATTGCGGGAGGTCAGATGGGTATTGAAACCACCGTGCAGCAGATGACTGGCCATACGGATAGCTATCAGGATCGACTTCAAACAATGCTCCGTGGTATGCTATATCAGGGCCTTGGATATCCCACTGGCCCCCACAGCAGCTTTATTCCCTACCATGTGGACGCCATAACTTTACAGCCTACTGGCGAAGGATGGCATGATGAGATGGCGATGGGTAGAGTTGTAGAGGGATCTTTCCGAAGCCTAAACAACCTTTTGGAGCATTTGCATCAAAGCTTCTTTTTCTATCTTCTCATGCAAAAAAATCGCTTTGTCAGCATTGGCACATATCTCCCCAGCGCCATGCTGCTGGCTGCCAATTTTACTATCATGGCCATCTTCCTCTGGGTCAAAAGCGGACAACCTACCGCGAAGGATGTAGGTACAGGCAAGCAACAAAGTGATGGATTGGAACGAAAAGGGGATGCCGCGCCATCCTCCTGGTCTCCTCTTACAGTGGAACGGAACCTTCTCTCACCTCTTACTTTTGTTGCGATATGCCATTCCATCTCTGCAATCCCTTTATTCTTGTTCAACCATCTTGGCATAAATGTGAGTTTTGATACACTTACTTTTTTTTTTTTTTGTAGTAACGCTTGAAAAACGAACGCTGAGCTAACCTTGTAATAACTAGACCCTGCCATTGGCATTTTTAATATTTTCCGTCACATCTACTGTCCTTCCAGCCATCTTCTCTTTCGCTGCTGCCTCACTTCAAAAGCCAACTCCGCAATACTTTCAGCTTACAAAATCTTTCTCGCTGTTAATTCTAGGTGTATCCCTTGCGACCCTCAGCACACTCAATTTCTCCCTCGCTTTCCTTGTCGGACTTTTAGCAAGTCCTCTCACCTTCATTCGGCCAACTGATAGCGCAGCTACCAGATGGTTTTTTGCAGCATTGTTGATATTAACCTCGCCGCCTATTGTTATATTATCAACAGCGTGGACTAGCGGCGTCACTCTGACTGAAGTCCTCAAAGCAGCCAGTTTGGGTTGGAACGTGTGGGGAATGTATACACCAATTATCATCTGGTGTATGTGGTGGCCAGCTTGGCTAATTGGTATGACGAATACCCTTAGCCCCATTTCTAATATATAGAGGAATCATACGAGATATGATTTCACGCGCAGCTCAAGGGAACCTATATGCTAGATTCTTATGTTACAATTGGCATGTGCCTCTAATTTTGAAAATTGTTCCTATTACATATATCAATAATAATAATGATGAAAGCGCAGCAAGTTAATTGAGAGCCCAGTAGTGTTTAGTGTGTACTCATGGTATATTATACACCCTCTCCGATACCAGCTACGAAAGTCATTGACTCTTCTCTATGCTCTTGGTTTGGCGGCACTCAGGCAGCCCAGACATCATGGCCGGCAGCCTCGATCCAATTTCCTAATTGATTGACATTTGAGTCCCACTCGAGTAATCGATGGCGCATGCTCTCGATCTGCTTCATATCAAGCACCTTCGGCTGCACCCAGGTAATGTGCGCAATCTGGCCCACTTGATCTATCGTTCCGCGAAGGAGGCCCAGGCTCAAAGCCTTCATCACCAGATGCTCAATTTCCTGTGGCTGAACCTTTGTCTCCTGAGAAATGGTCGCGAAGGACATAGTCCGATCATGGGGCGGTCTGCGAAAGACGGCTTCCGTCAAGGCCGCCAGGTAAATCTTCTGTCGAAGACTATCCGAGTTTTCGTTTAAAAGCTTGTTCGACGCAATGTTATCTGAAAGAACATCATAGGCAGCAAGATCTCCTCGGTTGTAGGCAAAAAGAAGATCACGCAACCAAGCGTCATTCTCGCTCCGGCCAAGAGTATCTAGAATGGGATGCAGTAGCAGCTCGCCAAAATTATAAATGCTCGTGGATACTAGAGCGGCCACGCTCAGGAAGTAAGCTCTTTGATGTCGTTCCTCGTCAGAGAGGGTAGATAGATCGATGCAGGCAAGGTAAAGTAGGGCGGTCCGGTAATAATTTGCAAAGTCCATTTTAAGCTAAAAGAAAGCGCTGTTGGTAACTGTAACTCCTATGACTATTTGAAATTCAGCAAGAAAACTTACCTTGTAGTAATTGGCACTGGCATCGTAGAAGGCAGCATGGACGACAGCCTCAACAGAGTCGAAGGAGTCCAGGATTTTCTCTGAAGCGTCGAGATCATGTTTTGCGTCTTCCAGCTCATTGAGACTTAGCTTTACCCTAGCAACTGCAACAGAAGCAAACACAAGCGCATCTTGAGAATCTTCCGTGTCCACCTTCTTTACTACCGACTGCAGGAATGCTAAGCGATCACGATCGTCTTGATGGATTGTTAGCAGCCAGATGGCAATTCAAGATCCAGAGAGAGCAAAAGACAAACCTTTGCATTGTGTCGCAGCTTTGAGCGCCAGCATCACCAACTTCAGTTTGTTGATCTTATCAGCAAACTTCAGAATGAAGACGTTATAGAAGGCTAGGCGTTGGGGCGCACTGCCATCGTCATTGAAGAATTCTACGAGGGCATCTGTGAGCTGGTGCCATAGCTTGCGTTCCCAGAAGTCTTCGAAGTTGAGAATGAGCGGCTGGAGCTCCTCTGGAGCTGCGTCTCGTTGCTCCGCAAGAAAATCAGAGATGCTGTCGTTGTTCATATTTGAAGAGACAGTACGACTGTCGATGGTCGTCCACGGCCCGTGACAAGGGTGGGGTGTGCAGTGTTTGAATTACCAGCCCGGCGGAGTGAGTGGCAAACGAGAGAAATGTGGTTTATGGTATCGTTGTAGTTGATGGTTAAATGGAGGTGCTGAGAAGTGCAACGTCTATGGATCTGGAGTTGCGAGAAGGTGGTTGAAGGTTGGAAGCTGGAAGCTGGTAGCGATGGTGCATATGCAATGCAGCCTTACTCAATGGGCCGTCTGGCGAATAACGTGGCAGCCAGCTGCCTAGCGCCAGTATCTGTAGCCTTGTTACTCCGTAGAGATCTGGCTATGACGGAGTACGTCTGGGAGTCGATAGTTAGCGCGATAAAACCCCCATAATGCAGAGTACGTATACAAGTATAGGTATAACATGCGGTATCTAATAATTTCATGATTGGAGTGTGTTTTCTGTTTGATAGCTGGAGTGCCGGTTGTTGTGATCGAATTTAGACGATGATGGCTTAGCGGTTAAGTTTAACCCAATCATCAACATAAGTACCTATTTACCCTCCCTTGTTCTAGGACGGGACAAAGATGACCACGGCAATCCTGAGCCTCGGCCCGGATCACGTAACATTTCTGCTGTAGCACAACTTCAAACGAACAAGACTCTGAGCTACACCCAAGTGACTTAGACTAGCATCCCGGGTGCTGCTATTATGTTCTTGTACATTTGCAAATAACATCTCTCTTCGGCCCCGCAAAGAAAGACAAGACAACATCCAAACACATCATGTCTGTTACGCTTGTAGCCCTTCCTACGGTGCAGCGTCTAAGCCCGCGCTGCATCAGGATCTTAGGCGGCAACCCAGGCAAATTTGCGCTGCAGGGCACCAATACTTACTTGCTCGGTACTGGCCATTGGCGTATTTTGATTGATACAGGAGAGGGCCGCCCAAGCTGGATACAGTCGCTCAAAGAAACGCTCTCCCAAGAGAACGCGACAGTGAAGGCGGCAGTCATTACACACTGGCATCACGATCATACTGGAGGCATTGCAGATCTTGTTAATACCTTCCCAGAAGTAAAGATCTACAAGAATAGTCCGGAAGTTGGGCAGTTGGCTCTTCAGGATGGCGATAGTTTCACAATTGACGGCGCAACCTTGACGGCTCATCACACTCCCGGCCACACAAAGGACCACATGGCGTTCACGCTTGCTGAAGAAGATGCAATGTTTGCGGGCGATAATGTGCTTGGGCAGGGCACTGCCGTGTTTGAGGAATTAGCAACATATCTTCGCAGCCTGAGTAAAATGAAGACGCTCTTTTCCGGGCGGGTCTATCCAGGCCACGGACCTGTGGTTGAGAATGGCTTGGAGAAAATTAATGAATACATAGAGCATCGCCGTCAGCGGGAGGAAGAAGTTTTGCGAGCAATGACGGCAGGTAATGCTTCCAGTAGCAGTGATACTTGGACGGCAATGGCTATAGTCAAAACGGTATACAAAGACGTGCGTGAAGATTTGCATGAGGCAGCCTGCGGAGGGGTTTTACAGATGCTGGCTAAGCTGGAGCAGGAGGGAAGAGTCAAGCAGACTAAGGACGGATGGCAGTTGCAAGACACTAAGAGTTTGATGTGATTACAAGTCGGACATGATGATATGAATACAATGCCGTCTATCCTTTCGACATTTTTGGTTTTAAATCAAACCTTTGTCTCCACGATATAGATGTAGCCGGTATACGCAAAGCAAAACCTCGGCTGACTGAATTGAGCTATACACGTGGAGCGAGGACGACTTAGTAAAAAGTAGTGCAAGCCCTAGGTACTCGGTAGGTTTGCATGGATTGTTTCTGTTTCTTACTACTCCTACTACCTAGGTACCACTGCTGCTACTTAATACCTAGGTAATATGCAGCCGTATTCCACAGAGATTATACCCTCTGTTACGCTGGTAGCATCTGAATTGGCCTGTGATTCCCGCCATGTCGGCCGATTTCTGGGCCGGCTATCTCAGCGGAGTAGTGGGAATTGTAGTAGGGAATCCTCTTGACATTGAGAAAGTGCATCAGCAAACAAGAAGGCATGCTACCGGAAGGCCATATAGCCAGAGCTCTGTGGCCTTTATGAAAGGCACTGCCGCGCCAATTTTTGGCTATGGGGCTCTGAATGCGCTGCTATTCGTTTCATACAACCGGTCGGAGGCAATGCTGAAAAAGGCGGCCTCGACACAGGATGCCGGGTGGGTTACTTGGACAGCGGGAGCAATGGGTGGTCTTGCTGTATGGATTGTCAGCGCCCCGACAGAGTTGATCAAGTGCCGAGCGCAGATATCAAATCCTGCCACATCAAGCTGGACGATATTCAAGCAGATATTGCGTACAGACGGTGTGAAGGGCCTCTACCATGGCGGGGTCGTCACAGCGCTGCGGGATAGCATCGGCTATGGCTTTTATTTTTGGACGTATGAATTGGCTCATCACTATTGGCCTACTGCTCAAAAGCGTGATGGCGACACTGCCTCTGGGCAGCGAGAGACATCAAAGGTCTTGTTGTGTGGTGGCATTGCAGGGATTGCCACTTGGGCCAGCGTTTTCCCTCTCGACGTCATCAAGTCGCGGCTTCAAACACAGCAGCATTCTTACCAGCCTGCAACAAGCGCTGCTGCATCAGTTTTTACGTACCGTGGCATAGCGAGTAAGAAGCGAGATGGGGCATGGCAGATCGCTAAAGACACTTACAGAGAAGGCGGGATTCGTCCCTTTTTCCGCGGCCTGTCTATCTGCAGTGTCAGGGCATTTCTTGTCAATGCCATTCAGTGGGCTGTATATGAATGGATCATGAGTGAAATGAACATGAGCAATAAACATGCAGGATTATTGCCAGAGGCTTGATGTCCTGTTCGGGTTATTTCCTTCAATAAACAGTCACACATTCGCCTACATACCGCTTATAAGCTTCGAAGCATTGGCTATCTACCCTTCAACAGTTAGGTAGCTTCCTTCATGTATATCTCTCCCAGACCTCTTTTTTCCTTCTTCCTAGGTGCTGCATATTCTACATACATATATGTATATTTTTACACCTACCTATATACCTAGATATATGCTCCACATGTACATGACTGATCCAATACCAAGCTGTAATCATGGCGATTTAGCATTTAGGTATTATTTATAGTACTCCGTAGCCCATATGAAGTTCTTGGGAGGGATGAACAAGGGTAGCGAGGTGCTTTGTAATCTAGTTTACATATCATCTTCAAAACATCCCAAAGACATTGAAAACAAAACACCGGGGTATGAACTAAACGGATTTCAGCACTTAACCAATACACCTAGCGTATACAATATTTCCATTCAAATCAAAGACTACTATAGTACTTACTAACATTTAGTCTCGCCCATTGGTATTCCGAAGTACCTGAGTGTTTTTGTACTTTTTAATCACGTGAGGACGCGCCATTGTTTCGCGCGTCAGGTGCGGCCTCTCACGAAGGAACGCGTTGCCCCATTCAGTTCGTGTATGTTGTGTTGACAATCAAAAGCCCCATCGTTCTTCTAGCCAGCCAGCGTGTGAATATCCTACTAGATCATCATGAAAGTGATGTAAGTGACTCTGAGCCAAGTTTAGCCATGTTTGGCGGGCCAAAGTTGAATATATATTTACATTTTCTAGTGCACCACCCCGCCCATCGTCGAAGGACAAGAACTACGGCAGGTCGAACTATCAGGCTTCAAAATCCCAGAATCTCGATACACTTCGCAAGCCATTTAAATGCCCTGCACCAGCGAATGCGGTATCCACGTCAGACCGACCTGTCCGAAAAAAGAGAAAGGTAGACTACAGAGGAGCCGATGAAAACGAAGGAACAAGTATCGACACGTCATATGACGGCAATGGCCATCAAACGCCTTCGCTGCCAAAATTTCCAGTCTTCCAAGTGAAAGATAAAAATCTCGTCTTTCGAAAAGCGTTCTCTATTCCTTTGAAAGATAAATCCCAAGGCGAGTATGGTTCATCAAGGCCTCCGCCGACCCTTGGGCTTCGACGTGGAGCCGTATTTGTCCCTAGGCCTCTACATGACCCATCAGGCGAATTCGCGATTGTTCTTTACGACCCGACCGTTGACGCGAAGCCCGAAATAACCCAAGAAAATGTGATCCAAAAAGAGGTTGAACCCTCGAAGCTTGATGCCCCGATTGTGCATAAAAGCCTTGCTGAGATTCTCGGAATCAAGAAACAGGTGGAAAAGGATCACCCCAAAGTTCCGGTCGTAATCGACCCCAAGATCGCCAAGTGTCTTCGCCCACATCAAATCGAGGGAGTCAAGTTCATGTACAAATGTGTCACGGGGCTTGTCGATGAGAAGGCTCAGGGATGCATTATGGCTGACGAGATGGGCCTGGGAAAAACGCTCCAGTGCATTACTCTCATGTGGACATTGTTAAAGCAATCTCCTAGTGCCGGAAAATCCACCATCCAGAAAGCCATCGTTGTGTGCCCAGCAAGTTTGGTAAAGAATTGGGCAAATGAGTTGACAAAATGGCTTGGTCCTAATGCTATCAATCCATTTGCCATTGATGGGAAGGCGCCAAAGGAAGAATTGAAACGCCAGCTTCGTCAGTGGGCAATTGCTTCTGGCCGATCCGTCACACGACCAGTTATTATCGTCTCATATGAGACTCTGAGGCTTAATGTTGAAGAGCTCAAGCACACCAAAATCGGCCTCCTATTTTGCGATGAGGGGCATCGTTTGAAAAATGCAGACAGCAACACATTTAATGCTTTGAATGACCTTAACGTATCTAGACGAGTTATTCTCACCGGCACACCTATTCAAAACGACCTGACGGAATATTTTGCTTTGACCAGTTTTGCCAACCCAGACCTTCTCGGGTCGCGATTGGAGTTTCGAAAACGATTTGAAATACCCATCTTGCGTGGGCGAGATGCCGACGCGTCGGAGCAAGAACGCCAGCGCGGAGATGAGTGCACATCTGAATTACTTGGCGTTGTCAATAAATTCCTAATTCGACGAACAAACGACATCCTTTCTAAGTATCTCCCGGTCAAATATGAACATGTGGTTTTTTGCAACCTAGCTCCGTTTCAGCTCGACCTGTATAATTATTTCATCACAAGCCCGGACATCCAGGCCCTTCTTCGTGGCAAGGGCAGCCAGCCTCTCAAAGCTATCAATATTCTAAAAAAACTCTGCAACCACCCCGATCTCCTAAACCTTGCAGATGACTTACCCGGCTCGGAGAAATGCTTTCCAGAAGACTATGTCCCCAAGGAAGCTCGAGGGAGAGATCGGGACATCAAGCCCTGGTATTCGGGGAAGATGCAAGTCCTCGATCGAATGTTGGCAAAGATTCGAGAAGACACAAACGACAAGATTGTGCTTATCAGCAATTACACGTCTACACTAGATCTCTTTGAACGTCTCTGCAGAGAGCGCCAATATGGATGTCTACGGCTTGATGGAACAATGAATGTAAACAAACGACAAAAATTAGTTGATCGTTTCAATGATCCAAACGGAGATGAGTTTATCTTTTTGTTGAGCAGTAAGGCAGGTGGCTGTGGCATTAATCTTATTGGCGCAAACCGTCTTGTCCTCTTTGATCCTGATTGGAATCCCGCGGCCGACCAGCAAGCTCTGGCACGAGTTTGGCGAGATGGTCAGAAGAAAGATTGCTTTGTTTACCGCTTTATTGCCACGGGCACCATTGAAGAGAAGATCTTCCAGCGGCAATCTCATAAGCAAAGTTTATCTTCGTGCGTGGTTGACTCTGCTGAGGATGTGGAGCGCCATTTCTCTCTCGACAGTCTTCGAGAGCTCTTTCAATATCGGCCTGATACGACTAGCGACACTCACGATACATTTAAATGTAAAAGGTGCAAGCCCGATGGCCGACAATTCATCAAGGCCCCTGCTATGTTGTATGGTGATACAAGCACCTGGAATCACTTTGTCAACTCTCAGCTGCAGCCCATACAGGATCTGTTGCTAAGACAAGAGTATGCCGGGAGTGAAGTGTCAGCTGTGTTCCAGTACATATCGCATTAGACCTGCTTTAGCTAGATTTTGTAGCTATTCAATTTTACAAGAGTGCATGTATATATGTATATATTATGTATGGCTGTCGATGTCCCGCATTCATCGAAAGTCTCCATCTATGCCGTCTATACGGAGTACCTAGGCTAGCACTTGGCGGGCAGTGTAGCTTAGTAGATCTCTATTAGCCGGGGCAGTATGGGTATTGCTTCTCCGTATTTCGCACCTCGCTGGAAATTAAAATAAGGTAGGTGCGGAGCCAGGACCTTCTCGCACTGCTAAAGCTGCTCCGGTAATGGCGCTAGGGACCGAGCTCCGTCTTTAACGCCATTTCGGGCTCCGAGAACTATTACCGAGAACTTCGCAAAAACGAGCTCACAGAGCGGCGACCGATGCTTCCGCTGTCTCGTGCCGAGGCCTCAGCCGCAAGGCTACGTCTTTTCGCCGTGTAAGAACAGATGTTGGGGCTGCGAAACTGAGATAGATGCGCTATGCAGCAATCGTTGCTTGAGCCTTGCCTGGCTATGCTCGTGTGCAGCCACTGAGAAATCGCCGATTTATCCAGCTAGTTGACGTAACTTTTGGCATGCAATGCAAGAAGCTTACATCTGCGACGTCACATGTCTAGCATTCTACAGCCGTGGTTTCGGAGTAGCTCTTGGGCATCACGGCGACACGCGCGGCAGTTACAGTGGCCTGCAGGTTGGCTCCAATGGTGGTGCACCCATCTACACGCTTACAAGTTAGCGCTGTAAGATCAATGGCTCATCAAAACACGCATCCTCTGTGTGCTGTGATAGACGCACAGATAATTATCTAAGCCATGGCATTTGTCCACTTGAATTTTACAATCTTGAAGCTGTCTACCTAGGTACCTATGTATGTAGTTCAGCAGGTGCAAAGTGGGCTTGGAATAGTATTAGGGATCAGCAAGATTCGCCTGCTGCATGCTAAAGCCTATACTGTAACACCAGCTCATGTATGGGGTAAATGGTCCGCACGGGCAGAGACGAAAAAAAAAATCACCTACCCCCCGGCGCAAGCCAAGCTCGGCTGGAGGGGGAGGTTTAGCTCGGCACAAGCGACAACGCGGGCCAAGGGATTGTTTTTACACGGCCTGTGAGTGGCCAGCGAGGGTAGGGCCATGCCAGCTCTAAGACGCACATTCTGTCATTGCCCTGCTATCCCGGCTGAGGGTTCCATCTTTTTCTTGTCTTGCGGACAACGACTGGCCGCAGCACGAGCCGAAAAACACCTCTCCCCACCCAGGCAAATTCCACTCTCCACTCTGATGTCTTTATAACATTCCCCCCTCCAAGGCATTTTCTGGTTTTGACGACAGATTTCTGCTGCTCGCCAGCATCAAAACTTTTCTGATTGACTGCAGTCTATAGACTCCTCAATTGGCCGAGTCAGCATCATGCTTGCTTCCAGACAGGTTCTGGGCAGTATTGCTCGGAGCCGCGCCGCCGGTGGCGCGGCCAGCAGCGTTCGCCGTCTGGCTACTGTATCCGACTCTGCCCTCGATAGAAAGGTCATTGGACTCCCTATGCCCTCTGGAGAGCATCTGTGAACACCTCTCAGGATTTTAATCGCTTGGGACTTGCCGTGCTGACATGCCTCTCACTCACAGGTCCGCCAGAACAACTGGGAGGAGAACAACTTCATCAACTACAAGAAGATGTCCGAAAACCTCTCCATCGTCCGTGCCCGCCTCAACCGACCTCTGACCTACGCCGAGAAGATTCTCTACTCTCACTTGGACGACCCTCATGGTCAGGATATTGAGAGAGGCAAGTCTTACCTCAAGCTGCGCCCTGATCGCGTTGCTTGCCAGGATGCTACTGCCCAGATGGCTATCTTGCAGTTCATGTCCGCTGGCATGGATGCCGTTGCCAACCCTACCACCGTCCACTGCGACCATCTGATTGAGGCCCAAGTTGGTGGTGCCAAGGATCTTGAGCGAGCCATTGGCATCAACAAGGAGGTTTACGATTTCTTGTCTTCTGCCTGTGCCAAGTACAACATCGGTTTCTGGCGACCTGGCTCTGGTATCATCCACCAGATTCTGCTTGAGAACTATGCTTTCCCCGGTGGTCTTCTCATTGGTACTGATTCGCACACTCCCAACGGTGGTGGTCTT